AAAATGCTTCAGTACATGCTAGAATTTCTCTAGAGCCTTTTGGGACTTTGACTCTTACTGTACCAGTTTTGGCTTTAAAAAATAAATTTTTTATGTTCTTTTAGGCAGATCAGCAGTTGGTAAAGAAAGGAAAAAGCAAAGTTGGAGACATGCTGGAGAAAGCGGCAGAGCTGCTGATGAGCTGTTTCCGCGTCTGTGCCAGCGACACGTGAGTAGGGCGTGGCGCTCGGGCTTCGACAGCTCCTAACGTAGCGAGATGCGTCCCCACTGAGGCCTTGGGTGAGTGCCGTGTCCTCTGCCCGGGTCGCCCGCCTCAACTCCTCTCCCCTGTCTCCACTCAGTGTAGAGGTTTCAGCCTCCTCTGAGGCCTCAGCAGTGGGCCTCAGCAGTGGGCCTCGCGGCAGATTGGCAGATCTCCTTTCCTGAACGGTTGGCTGCGCTTCTGTCCGCCGCCCTTGTGGAGGTGGCGGTGGGGACGCCGGTGCGCAACGGCTGCTCAAGGGCAGAGAGCGCGAGGGCCGCGTCCCGCTCGCCGTCGGTGCCCGGCACCACAGAGCACGCGGACGCTTCTTAACGCTAGAAATGCTCGAATGTGGAGACCGAACACTGGAGGTTTTGTAAGATTGCGTGTTCGTGCACGGCAGTGATCGCCCTGACCTTCCGTCAGTAAGTGGTTTCTCACATGCAGTACTGAGAGCGCAAGCAGCAGAAGGAAAGTAGACCAAGCGGACTTCATCAAAATTAAAACCTTCTGTGCTTCAGAGGCACTATCAAAAAAGTGAAAAACAACCATAGAATAGGAAAAAAATTGCAGATAACATATCCGATAAGGGTCTAGTATTCAGAATATATAAAGAACTGTTACAACTCAGTAACGAAAAGACCAATAATCCTATTTAAAAATGGCAAAGGGATTGAAAACTCTTCCAGAAGCGACACACGTGGCCAGTGGGTGCGTGCAAAGGTGCTCCCTGTCACTGACCGCCAGCGACGCGTGCACACGCACAGCCGCTGCAAATGCCGCCACTTCACGCCCACCGGGACGCTGTGGTCAGAGACAGGCACAGGTGGGAAGGTGAACGGGGGCAGCTGCTGTGCAGGAGAGCCTGGCGGTTCCCCAGAAAGTTAAACATGGGATCGCCTGTGACCCAGCAGTTCCACTCCCAGGTGGGTGCCCAGAAGACAGAGGCAAACCCCGAGTCTTTCCTCTCGCTCTTGGGGTTTGCTCTGCCACACGTCTCCAGAAGAGGTCATCGTTCCTGCCGTCAGACCAGCAAGGATGTTACCATGAATGAAGCGTTTTGTATGAGTTACAAAGTGCTCGTCTATGCACTTCTTATTGTGGTTTTTTGTGGGTTTTTTTGCCATAGCCCTTTGAAGTAGGTATAGCAGTATTATTATGTCTCCCTTTTCAGATGAGAAAATGAAACCTAGAGAGAGAGTTTTGTTCCAGTTCACACTACTAGGTAGTGATAAAAGTCAGGTAAAAGAGCCAGTCATAGCAGTGAAGTAGGCAGTTTTGAAACAGGCTTTGATATTTAAAACTAAGTTGTGCTTTTATATCACTTTAAGTGTTTCTATATGGGCACATTTTGGTCTTGAGCAATTTTGTTTTCTCTGGCTTGGGAACAGCCTGCCTGTTTTCTGTGCTGGGCACTTTTTTGTGCCTTGACTTCACGTCCCTGGATTTAGTGTCTCTGGCCGCCTGCCACTGGGCTCTCTGGCACCCTCGTCAGCGAGAGCCGCAAGCTCTTCGGTGGGAGAACCGTTTGCAGAGTGAGAATACACAGCCGACTCCACTGAATTCATTCCAGTGTTTTATCATGAAAAATTTTAAACTGTCAGGAAAGTTGAAAGACTTTGACGGTGAAAACTCACCACTTCTACTGTTGATAATGTGCTACCCTGGCTCTGTTACATCTATTCTGTGTCTTTCCCTCTGTCCATCTGTCAGTTTATCTCAATTTCTCTCTTCTTTCTTTTTTTTTAAACAACGTACATCATGCATCAGTCGATGGGGATGTGTTGTGAGAAATGTGTCATTAGGTGATCTCGTGGCTGTGCGGGCATCATAGAGCGCGCCACACAAACATCGGTGCGGCCCCCGCACACCTGGGCTGTGGCGTAGCCCGCTGCTCCTGCGCTACAGCCGCGCTGGATACCGTAGGCGGTCGCGGCACAACGGAAAACACTCGTGTGTCTGCACGTACCTAAACAGAGACAGGGCACCCTGAAAACACAGCTTCGTGATCCGCGGGACCAGGGTTGGATGTGCAGTCCATTGCTGACCGAAATGTCCTGATGTGTCGCATGACTGCCTTTCAAAGTTAACTGCAAACTTCGGCACACTTTCCCCTGAATCCTTCCCTTTCTCCTCTGTCTTTGAGGTAAAATTGACACGCGGAGAGCGACATACAAATCTTAGCTGCGTAGTTGCTGAGTCTGGACGCGCGCACTCACCTGCGCACCCAGAACCCCTGTTGGGGAAGGGGCCTCATCGTCTCCCAGCACTTTCCCTCTGCCCTTCTCAGGCAGCCCCTTGCCACTGTTCCGACGTTCTCCACCGTGGGTTACTTTTGCCTGTTTGGCAGCTTCGTATAAACGGACTCCTGCAGTTGGTACTTCCTGTGCTTCCTCTTTGAGACTCGCCCTTGTGCATTTGCTAGTCCATTCGGTTGTAATGAGAAGAGAAAACATTCTTCCATTTTTCAAAAAGGCTTTATAACTACTGGCTTTCACAGAATGTTGCTGCAAGCGAGGCGGTTTCCAGCTGCCGCAGTGGAGGGGGGTGTTACCCAAATGTTTAACGGGGATTTTCCTGGTTTGCTTTTTTTTCTCCCCAAGTTTACCTATTAGATAAGACATCTTTTAAAAAGTTTTTTTATTTGATGAACATGACTTGAGCTGTGAGATTTTATCTCAAGATATTAATTTGTTCAGCGGTTTATTTTGTAATTTATAAATAAGATTTCTATTTCTTATGTAACTTTAAAAAATTATTTTCCCATAGTCGTGCTGGTATAGAGGACTCTAAGAAGTGGGGAAT